AAGTCCGAGGAGACCGCACAGACCCAAGAGGGTGAGGAAATCTAGGGCGGGGCCGCAATGCCCCTTGGGAAGCGTAATCTAATCGCGAGGAAGAGGAGTGAGCCAGCCTCCTCCGCAAGGGCCGCTGGGAAATGTAGTCCTGAAAGCGTGGGGACGGATGGAGGGGAGCTGCGCCCAACTTGAGAGCCTTTGCTCGCTGAGAGCCTAGCTCAGTTCCCAGATCCGGTAACCTGGCCTGAGTGCGGGGTCTGGGGGCTCTCTGCTTGGGTTCACAACACGGCCCTACCACATCTAATCGTGCGTGACCTTGAGCAAGTCCCAGATAATATTCAGTGAATAAACGCACACGTCTTAAACTGGGAAAATAGCCTAAACTTTGCTAGCCCCGCATTTAGAAATCATCAGTTCACTCTTGGCATCCAGTAGGCACTCAGAGATGGGAGTTAAAGATCAGCAAGATACCATGCAGTCCCTACTGAGGATAGGTACCCTGGTGCAGGGCTGGGGGCTATCCTAAAACTTGGAAATACTGTATCACTCAAATAGATCCAATTCCACAATACATCAAGTAATTTTTAAAAGACAGTGGTGAGATGAGAGGAGCCATCCCACGAAGAGCAAAACTACTAAAATGTAATCATTTTATATTCCACCTCCTCAGTTTTTCTAAACTCCCAAGGGCCAAGAACCACCATAATCAGTGTCAGGTTGGGGAACTCTTAAATTGATACCAAGGAAGTAACATGGTCAAAGAGAAGTCATCTTTGTCTTGAAGATTTTTTCACGGAAGAGCTTCCTTCTTTAGTCTTCCTCACAAGGTAGCCAAACAGCTATTGACTTCACATGCATTTCCACTGAATCCTCACAACCCTAGGTTTGTTTTCACTTTACAGTTCAATAAATTTAGAGTTTTGAAGAGTGTGTCACACACTTGGTTAGAAAGAGAAGCTACTGACCAAGCAGACACACAAAGGGATGGACCCTGGTTCTCCACCAACTGAAAGTCTGTTCTGCATCCCGCAGGTGGGGCTGTGGTTGCCCGTAGTCCTATGGAGGTCGGGATTCTGATCCCCAGTAGGAGTCATAGGGGGACAATCAATGATTTTCATCATTTATGTTTCTCTCTCTCCCTCTCTGAAATCAATATATACTAGTATATACTAGAGGCCCGATGCATGAAATTTGTGCAAGAGTAGGCCTTCATGGCCCCGCGCCCCCACCCACTGGTCATTAGGGAAGGTCGTCAACACTACCCTCCCTCCCACACCCGCGAGCACATCAGGTCTAATTAGCTCTTTATTATATAGGATATATATGTCTTCTTTTCAGTAAGAGGAACAGAAAATCCCTTGTTCTCATACACTTTCCAAGAGATTTCACAATTATTTTTTCACCAGATATATTCCTTCAAAGCATGTGTGTTTTTTGAAAAAGTGTTCATCTTCCTCGGACCAATTCAAGCCTCAGTCATTCTTGGCTGGTTGTGATCAAGGGGTATCACTGACACTTCAGATGCATCTGGAAGTGCATCGCATCACCAACATGCACTTTATTTTTGAGCACTCCCAATCACATTGGCAATATTTTTGCCATTTTAATCAAGTTTCAGATGCAGTTTTATATTGAAAAACGATGTTTAAATACAGATCAGTAAGGAAAAAAATTAAAAGAACATTTATGTAGGAAGCCTCTTTCTTGATGTACCTCCCTTTACTGACATAAGAACAGGAGTTCCAGATTAACCATGTCATTGTTTTATTGTCACAATGGGTTTTTTCTCAAGCTCCTTTGAAATTACACTTATAAATATATCCCTCTACATTAAAGCTACTTCCCAAACCACAAAGACTCCACTTTCCATTATTTCTATGGACACATTTCATTTTCTCATTTTGTCCAGTATACAAAAATCCCACCTTTTTGTCAGCAGTTAAAAAAGAGAACCTAAAGGTACTCAAATGACTTTCTACCAAGTCACCAAAGGAAAGTCACCAATATCCAAAACTTTTTAAAGCAATAAAAATTTCTCTGTTCCAAAGCATATTTACAGACTGAAATTCAAACTCTACATCGCCATTAATATAATTATACAAGAGCATATAAAGCTCTAGGAAAGAGAAAGTATTTCATTACAAAATATTTGTGATCAAGAAAATATTACTTGCCTTTAAATAAAAAATAGGAAAAGTGGCAGAAAAATAAATAAGTTTAAAGATGTACATTTTCACAAGTAACAAAAAAAGTACACAAATAAGTAATGAAGCTAAATATGCATGAGCTTCAAAATGAATCTAGCAGTGCCCGCACAAATTTGCTATAAAGCAAGGTTGTTTAGATTCTTCTTTCTGTGTTTAGTTATTTAAAAAAAAAGGACAGACAGAGGAGGATTTCACTGAGCTGAATCCATGACACAAATAGCCAGTTGAAAAGAGTATATATGTAACCTTGGCCAACTGTTCCTAGCAAAACCACCCGACAAATGACCTAAATTATACCCCACCCTCCCCAAGAAATTTTCAAAATGAGAACTGGTCTGCTGATACTGGTAATAATACAAAAATCCATGTTAATATTCCACTACAAACGAGTCATTCCAGTTCAAACAGTACTCTTGGGAGCTTCAGGGTAAACTCTTTGCTTGCTGTTTTATAAAAGTCCAAACTCCACTTTCAGTCAATGTGAATTATTTTTACCTGGAACTCCCATTTTTCTTTTAAATCCATTTTTACACTCACATGTATATGATTTGGCTGATTCAATTTCCCTAAATCCCCTAGCTCTTCCCTCCAGGCTTTTATTGGTCTCTGAAGCCCCTGGATATCTCCCTCTCTCAGCATTTGGGACCAGCCCTGGCCATCTCCCCACTGTCCTCCTACCTTCTCTGCACCCCACTGAACCCGAACACACAAACAGTTACAGCAGAGGTAAACAATGTATCCAAAATAAACTCTTTCTGAAGACTATAAATAGTGTTCTAGAGGATTTTCACTGATCAGCAAAATCCTGAGTATGGCTCTGACCAAAACCTATGTTTTAAAATGCAATCTGTTAAAACAGTCACAATAATTATGTCAAAAAGCTGTAACACACAAAAAAAGTATACATTAAACAAACAAGCCAAGCCGTGAACACTTATCAACTCCACTATAAAATATTGCACATGATATTCAGTCTTTTCCTTTGTCTGTATGGGAGCAAAAAGAAAAAAAACCATGTCTGTTCAGACACTAGAGTAAGTCTAACTTGAAATAAGCTGCCAGAGGCAGGTACTCTATGCTCTAGTTTGATGTGAAGCTCAAACAGTATGAACCCTGGTATTGCAGGGCAGGATGGGGAGGCACGTTCATCTCAATCGCAAATCCTTGCAATCAAAGGGGACTGGTCTGGCAGGTACGACACCGGTGGGGAGCCCACACTACTTGAAGGACTTCGGAAATGCGTGTCAAAGGAGCTCGGTGTAATCCCAACTTCACCTTTCAAAAAGTCATCATCTTCATCTTCCACCACCTCCTGTCAGGAGAACAGAGATTATCAGTAAGATCGCAAGTGGTTTGAAAAGCTTCCAAGAATTCCTTTCCTCAGGAATGTGCTACTTCTGGGAAGGTAAAGAAAACATTGTAATTCAAACGCTTCCTCTGACCCTGGCCAGTCTTGCCCAGTGGACAGAGCGTCAGTGAAAGGTCCCTGGTTCGATTCTGGTCAAGGGCATGCAACTTGGTTGCAGGCTCCTCTCTGGCCTGGGCCTGGTCAGGGCACATGCAGGAGACAACCAATCAATGTGTTTCTCTCACATCGATGTTTCTCCGTTTTTCCCTCTCTCTTCCATTCTCTCTAAAATCAATGGAAAAATATCCTCAGGCAAGGATTAACAAAAAAAAAAAAAAAAAAGCTTCCTCTGATGTACACTTCTCAATTGCTCAGCACATGCTGTCACTATTTGTTTAAAGTCAGATTTTTTTAACAGATTTTAAGCTCAATGAGGGCAGGTAACATGTCATTCTTGCTCACTATTATAACTTTTGTATCTAACACAATGTGAATGAATGAATGGAGGCCTCAAACACAAAATATGAGGAAAAATAATAAATTGAGCTTTCCAATGATTCCTTATGAGACAGGCACATAAAGTTGACCTTTAGTGGGGAAATAAATTTGCTACACAAAAAAAGAACAGTGACATTATTTATTATTGAATTCTAATTTTCTCCCTCCCTCACTTCCATCTGACATACACTGGAAGGTATGCTGCAGGCCTGAATCTTTACCACTTACAAAGAGCTACAAAATTAATGTTAACCTCTACACTATTAGGGTCTTGCTTATAATATCAACATAGTATATTTGCCATTGTTACTTGGTGGTAATGATCAAGTGGTGAAGATCTAAATTTATTAATTTTTAATTAACCTTCACTCCCCAAAGTCAATGTGTGAAGTGTTTGGTTTAAATAATACACCAAAAACTCTTTTCATAAGAACATATCCTGAGCTTGGAATTTTGCAAAGGCAGAATAAAATGTCCTGTTTTTAAAAAAAAAAGTTTTTATTGATTTCAGAGAGAGGAAGGTAGAGGGAGAGATAGCAACATCAATGATGAGAGAGAATCATCGATTGGCCACCTCCCGCATGCCCCCCACCAGGCACTGAGACCACAACCCGGGCACGTGTCCTGACTGGGTATGTGCTTCTGGCTCATGGATTGACACTCAACCACTGAGCAACACCGGCTGGCCAAAATGTCCTATTTTTCAGTATAACATTCCTATTTACTATTTGACTGTGATGTGTAACCACACAGGAGATCCCCAAAAAGCATGTCGAATCACAAATTTACCTTGTTAATGGGTTTCTTAAACTCCTGAAGCTCGTCTGCACTTATGTCTTCCCATATCTGATAAATTGGATCAATGAATTTCTTTGACCTGTCAACAAAGAAATTTCACAAATCAAGTTAAATACTACAGTGAAGGTCAAAACATATTTAGCTCTTCTTTCACAAGACCTAGTACCCAAAATAAAGTGAAAATTATGGCTCAAATATAAGTGTCAAAAAAATACTCTATAAAAGAACTGTAACTAATGTGGCCTCTTCTTTGTAAGAGTTCAACTCATACAGATGGAGTATCTTTCTTTCTTTATCAAGTGTAATTGTTTCTCAAGTATAATTGTTTCCCAACTTTGCACAAGCTAACAATGAGTTATAATGTGTCCAAAGGGAAAGAAAATTATATTATTCTGGAACTTCCTTTTTTATATTCTTATAGCAATTTACTAAAAATAAGTCTGGGGAAAAGGCCTATCTGGCTCTGGCTGGTGTGACTCAGTGATTAGAGCATCAGCCCACGCACCAAAGAGTAGCAGGTTCAATTCCCAGTCAAGGGCACATACCTGCAACCAATTGATCTCTCTCTCTCTCTCTCTCTCTCTCTCTCTCTCTGCCCCCTGTGCCACTCTAATAATCAATGGAAAAAATATTCTCAGATAAGGGTAAACAATAAAGCAAAAATTCTGCTTCCTTATACAAATACAAAGTTAAGACTGGCTTGGTGGTTTTCCAGGATTATCCATCAACATAACTCTCTTGGCTTTTTTTAGCCTGTGGTGTCTAGAGGAAAAAACAAGTCACTGGCAGAAAATTATGAGCCATGAAAAGACAGCATCCTCCCTATTGGAACACCTTATATGTTCAAACCAACAGGATTAAAGGAAAGCAAAAATAAACCAAAAACCCTTGTTGTCAACCTGGGTTCCTAACGGGGCAAAGATCTGCAAACCTTAGTGTGCTATGACACTCAGCAGTCTCTAACAGGCATTCTCTGCTCGGCCTGTGAAATATGTGCAAGGTGACCATGGCTTTACAAACGGCCAGAAATGGCTGGCCACGTATGACAAAGAAACTCTACATCCCAATCTTGGAAAAAGCAAATACACAATACATTTAAATTCACACTGATAGGTTGACTGTGTTAAGAGTACCTACCTCTTAAGCACACAAGGATCGAAGGGGAAAAAAGTGTCAAGTGGGTTTGTGCAGGTTTGCACCGAGTCCCCTCCAGCTGTACTTCTTATAACTGGTAGCATCTGGCGATTGTTCCTCTCAATGATAGTGTAGCAGAAGACCAGCTGGTATTTACTATGGAACAAGAAAAACAACAGAGGCATTAGCATGCTCGAATTACTCTGCATGAACATGCCTGTTCGTGCGTGATAACTATACTGACCACACAGATACTGCCGAACATAAGAAGTGCAAGAAAAAAAGAACATAAAGCAGAAAGTGATGCTTTTAGGGAAAACTTTCCTAGTTTGCAAAGTATATAGCTGTCTTTACTTATTTTTATTGTTTGTAAGAGAATTAGGGGTTGGTAAAAAGGGATTCAGTATTTACTAATAGGAGATAGTATTTGATGATATGGAAACTTGATTTTGAAGAAATTAGAACAGTAGTGAAAGAGGATGACTAAGTCACAATCTCAGAAAATGGTAAAGAAAGGAATAGGCATAGTGAATAAAAAGTTAAATATATTGAAGAACTCATGATAAAAAACAACAACAAGGCCAGTGTATTGTCAGTTCTGGTTGCCTCCATATGACTTGGCAACTTGAATCATTATCAGATGGATTCTCTGAGATAAGGATTTAGCTCACATCTGCTACCCTCTACCTCCTACCCTCCTATCCACAGTATTCATTCAGGTCATCTCTGATTCTCAGGTCACTATTGTAATGCTAAGTGACATACATTTATTTCTGTTCTAGTAGCCAAGGATCACATTCGACTCTCTACTCCTGGTGGGAGGGTAAATTGGCAAAACGATGCTGGAATACCGTGGTCAAGTTCACAATGTACATCTCCTACAACCCAGCAATTGCATGTCTGGGTGACAGGAAGCGTGTGCCTTTGCACCGGCACACACATACAGCCATGTCTCTAAGCTGCTGTTACCGATACTGAAAAAGTAACAGCTTAACAACAAGAACTCAATTTTAAAAAATCAATAGAACATTACACAGATGTATGAGTTGACAATGAATCTTAAAACCATCAAGTAAGCAAAAGCAGGAGCTACAGATAATACATAAATTCCTGGACACAGAACTTTATTTCAATCTCTTCTCTTAGCATCACACCTCACTCTTAACCTCTATTGCTAATTCCAACCCAAATCTAGAGCCTCTCTGACCAGTGTGCTCATCCACGGCAATCCGTACTCCATATCATGAGAATATTCTAGGGCAGTGATGGCGAACCTTTTAAACTCGGCATGTCAGCATTTTGAAAAACACTAACTTAACTCTGGTGCCGTGTGACATATAGAAATGTTTAGATATTTGCAATCATAGTAAAACGAAGACTTATATTTTTGATATTTATTTTATATATTTAAATGCCATTTAACAAAGAAAAATCAACCAAAAAAATGAGTTCGCGTGTCACCTGAAAGGCGTGCCATAGGTTCGCCATCACTGTTCTAGGGGCATCTGCTGCTGCTTGGCTTCATCTGTCCTTACCCTTCCTGTTTTCCCAGGAACCTTTCACACACTAAACCTTGTTCCTTGTTGGTCTCTTTACTTCTTTTAATTCTTTACCATTTTTGAGATCTCAGGAGAAAGAAAACCTCGAACTAGATATCCAGCAAAGGAAAATAAGATTGCTGAATGAGAGTAGTAAGTTGTCTAAAAGGACTGAGGGATGAATTCTTTTTCTTATAATAGCAGAGACTCTTATCTGTTGAAGATTTTAAGCTACGATCCTGTCCTGAATATGCTGATTAAATGCCCAAGGTCTCCAATTCAGTGTCTATATGAAGCAGAATAATTCAGTAAATGCTTACTTCCAAAGGAGCCACACTGCCTGCATTCAAATCTTAGCTCTGCCTCCGTCTAGCTCTGACTTCACAGAAGTAATTTAATCTCTCTGTGCCTCCATCTTCCTATTTATAAACAGGTTAATATTATACTCACAGGATTGTGCGAAGTTTCAGTAAGTTCTATGTAAAGCACATAAGACTGTACCAGGCACACAATAAAATTATGCATTAGTTGTAGCTACAAGGCCTGAGATAATACAGTCCCTCATTAAACCAGTCCCCTATTGTTGGAGATTTATCTCATGTCCAGTCTATTTTTATTACTATTACAAGAGTCAGTCTAATAAACATCTTTGGTTTCTACCTCTAAGGTTACTAGTTCTTATGTATTTCAAAGTGTCTAAGCTTCTGCTCAATTATTCTCTCTGCATAAAAATTAGTAGCAATTTCCAATGCTACCCAAGTATAAAACAATAGGTGCACAACAGGGTTTCCTGCAAGTATTGGGTTAGGGTTTTTAAATGTTTGTGTGTTTTTTAACTAATCTTATTGAATAGTTTCACAGAAATTTACAGAGAGGAAGGGAGAGGGATAGAGTTAGAAACATTGATGAGTTAGAAACACTGATGAGCGAGAAACATTGATCAGCTGCCTCCTGCACATACCCCACTGAGGATGTGCCCGCAGCCAAGGTACATGCCCTTGACCGGAATTGAACCTGGGACCCTTGAGTCCGCAGGCCGACGCTCTATCCACTGAGCCAAACCAGTTACGGCAGTTTCACAGAAATGTAATGGAATTTTATAATACCAATCTATAATAATAAAAGGGTAATATGCTAATTAGACGAGAGGTTTTTCAGGACGAAGCTGGGGCCAGAGCAAAGCCGCCCAGGTCCTGGGTGCCTGCCGGCGGCTGGAGGAAGGAAACCTGGGTCCCGGTGCCAGCAGAGGGGGGCGGGGGAAGGCCTACTCTTGCATGAATTTTCATGCATCGGGCCTCTAGTACTAATATAAATTTACTTGTAAATAACTTCCACCAATAAAGTACAAATATCAAAACAACAATGAGGTACCATTTCACACCTGTCAGAATGGCTATCATCAACAAAATAACAAACAACAAGTGCTGGAGAGGATGCAGGGAAAAAGGAACACTCGTGCACTGCTGGTGGGAATGCAGACTGGTGCAGCCACTGTGGAGAACAGTATGGAGTTTCCTCAAACAGTTAAAAATGGAACTCCCAGACTGTATAATCTATAGGGTTGGGGGGGGAGAGGGCGGTAAGAGATCAACTAAAGGACTTGTATGCATGCATATAAGCATAACCAATGGACACAGACACTGGGGGGTAGGGGAGGCCGGGGGAAGGTCAAGGGGGGGAAAAAGGCATATATAATACTTTTTGTAATACTTAAAGCAATAAAACAAAATTTAAAATAAAATAAAAGTACAAATAACTTACCTTGTAATTGCAGCAAAAAAGTTAACTACCGAGGGCAGACAAATCTTCAGAGGATTTAGTTGACTCATCACTATACGTTCAAAATTCAGACTTTGAAGGTACCTCAAACCTTTGATTAAAAACAAAAAACAAAAATTTAAAAGTTACAAAAACAGTCTTAAAACTGCACAGATTTTTTTCACGGGTTAAAAAAATGACTTAAACATTAGTTGTGAAATTGCTTTAAATAAAGGTCCATGTAGCCCAGCCGGCATGGCTCAGTGGTTGAGCACTGACCTATGAACCAGGTCAGGGCACATGCCCAGGGTGTGGGTTTGATCCCCATCAATAATGTTTCTCTCTCTCTCTCTCAGTCCCTCTTCCCTCCCTCCCTGACATCAATAATAAAAATATATTTTAAAATAAATAATTAAAACAAATAAAGGTCCATGTAGATAGTCATACAATGTGGAGCCCAGAAGAATGTCATTAGGCTTAAGCACACTCATTTATGACTAAGACAACTTTTCTAAAGAAAACTATTTATTAATTATTCTTTTTTTTAATCCTCACCCTAGGATATTTTTTTCCATTGATTTCAGAAATGTTGGGGAGACCGGGGACAGGGGGGAGAGAAACATCAATGTGAGACACATCTATTAGTTGCTGACTAGCTGCCTCCTGTATGCGCCTCTACCAGGGCTGGGAACCTGCAATCAAAGTACGTGCCCTTGACCCGGAATTGAACTCAACCCTTCGGTCTGCAGGTTGACACCAACCACTGAGCAACTGGCCAGGGCTGTTTATTCTTTTAAAGACCCAGGACTTCAGAATAAGCACACATTCCTATTGGGCTATAAGCTTGTATGGCAACTTGAAATTCAGATATGTAAGCACAGCATATGCTGAGTTTAAAGACCATATGATTTGATTTCAGCTAACAATCATGAAATCATTAAAAAGTTCTGGCAACACGGTGAGTCTCCAATTGCTGTAGAGTGTGGAAATTTCTCCTTCCCGAATTCCATATATTGTGTGTGTGTGTGTGTGTGTGTGTGTGTGTAGTCAATCTGACAAGCAATCAAAAAACAATCTTGTAAGATGTACATGTCTTATATTACTAGTAAAATTGACCATGTTTTTGAACGTGCATTAGTTGTTTGTATTACACATTATTTTTTCAAAAACAAGAAAACTATGGATGTAGAAGGAAAAATTATATTTCACTGTCCTGAAACTAATAAATATACTTCTCTCCTGTATTACTAAAAGAAAGATACCATACCTATTTTAAGAAGCAAGCAAACAAACTTGTGCTTAAGTATATTTTGTTAGAAGGTTCTTTGATGTGCATCTTGATAAAAATTACTAAAAATGGGATGTCAGGTTTGCCCCAATATACCAAGGTTGAGGGTTTGATCCCTGGTCAGGGCATATACAAGAATCAACCAATGAATGCATAAATAAGTGGAACAAACAGATTGATGTTTCTATCTCAAATAAATCAGTCAATCAAAAACTTTTTAAATGAGATGTTATGGCTTAGAAGAAATACTCTTTAACCAAAAATCTTACCACTTATTCACACAAAAAAACAGAGATTTTACTTACCTTGTGATAAAGCCTTGTCCTATCACTAGTTCATACAATTAATTTTTAAACCCCACATCTTTTCAGAAGTATTCAGGATGTAAGTAAATATATATAATGCACACACACAACACATACAAGTTCCCGTTTGGAGTTGTGGTTCTCAACTCAAGGCAATTGTGCCCCTAGAGGACATCTGGCAGTGTCTGGAGAGGTTTGTCACACAGAGGACAGGATTGGGGAAGGGTGCTAGTGCCATCTAGTGGGTAGAAGGTGAGGAGGCAGCTGCTAACCATTCTACAATGCAAAGGCAGCCTCCACAACACAAAATTATCCAGCCCAAATGTAAGTGCAGAGCTTAAGAAACTCCAGTTTAGAGGAAACAGACTATTAAACCATTTGAATTATTCATGACAGTAAAACAAAAAATTTAAATTGTTTTGTTTAACTGATATCGCTATTGGGGACTGTCTTCAACTAAAATTTAAAACAACCCCCCCCAAAAAAACAAGCTTCTGGTAGATTTAAATAATAAACCCTTAGAAATTAAAATAATAAACCCTTAGAAATTAGCAAAATTGAAAAACAGTAAATTTACCCAAGTCTTTAAATAAAGGTGCATAATCATTATGACCACAGCTTTATAGCCATCCTCACCTGGTTTCAATTTCTAATCCTGCCAATAAATTACTTCCCTGTGCTTTGGTGTCTTCTGTGAAGTGGAATGACACCTGGCCTTCACTGGGCCTTCACAGGGACAAGGAGGTGTGCAGGAAGCTCTGAGCACGGTGCTGGCCCAGTGCAAGTGCTTGGCCTCACCTCTGAAGAAGAGCAGCTTGACATCTGACATTACTCTCGATGCCACCCTCTAAAGCAGAGGTTCTCAACCTCAGATCCATCAACTATTAAGAGGAGGCTTAAGGAGGTGTTAGGGGCTTATATGCTGCTTGAAGTAATTTATAAAAGTTTGTGTGCATGTGCAGTTTTCTGACTCCAGCATTTTCAACCATATTCAAAAAAGTAACAAATCTGCATTCTAAAGGGTGACTAGTACACTGGAAAATCCACTTCACATCCATCAATCCCACATCACTGACCTTCCTTCAGGTTTCCACTTAAAAGCTGCTTGTGTCTAAAAACACAAGTGTAGAACACAGCTTGGCAGGCTGAGTAAAATGGTCCATGTAGAGCAACATCACAAAATGCCTTTGTTCCTGAATCCTGGTTATTAAGGTATATGTGCAGCCAATTAACCAAAAGATCTAGGCATGATTTTACAGTACTAGAGAGAAGAAAAATTCAAGTCAAATCCACTGGCTTCATAAAAAAAACAAAACTAGTGATAGAAAACACAATGCCTCTCAATGCAAACTAAGAAAAGTCAACCCATAGGCTTCTTTATATATCAGCCAGGGGCACAGAGGAGAAGCAAACGAAGGAAATGCAGGGTGGGGGTGGGGGGGACAATCGGCAGGCCCTAAGAACCCCGCAAGTCCCAAGGGATGGGATGGAAACCCTGTGTCAACAATTTAGGACAGAATGGCCATATAGCTGTAGTTGTTGAGGAAGGGTCTCTAACAGCACCCTTGCCCAAAGTATCGTCCTGGATCACTGGAAGAAATAGGCTTAGAGCTGGCCTCCTACATAGATTTTTCTGTTACCTTTACAAGGATTTTTTCTTCAGCTTTAACAGACATAATTGATTCAGAATGCAAATGAAAAAATGAACAAAACTATAAAAAGAATCAAAATAGTATACAATACTGCACACTATCCATGGAGACCAATGGATCTTCATGTTCAAGTATTGCCATACTAAACAGAGAGCTTACCTATGAGGTTTTACATATAAAAAAGGAAATATTTTATTTGGAAACTGCCTCTTGGAAATATAAACATTGTGCAGGAGTGGGGGAACAGATTTTTTCACTTTAAAGAGAGACCAAAAACGTAAGGCAGATATTTCTCTGACTTAAGAGAATGCTCTCTAATCTTTTAAAGTATGATAAAAAAAAAAAAACACTTGGAAAAATTAGGTTACTTACATAAGAGGAATAAATTTAGCTCTTGCCAAAAGGCTTCCAATATAATTTGCAGCAGCTTGCCTGATGATGGCAGGATTATTCGGATCCTGCAATTTCTTCCAGAGATGTTCCAAAAATGCTTCTGCGAATCCCTGTAACAAAAGGTGTTGGTCTGATCTTTTTGAATGCTTAAGATATTCTAGTTATCAGAATTCTAAGATTTTAACTCACCAATGTGGGAAAGTTCTAGTACCTCAGTTATATTGATAGATAAGTAATGAATACTGTTGGCATGATTATTTTTAAAACACCTTGAGATGATATTAAAAACCAAAGGGTCCCCAAGCATTAAATAATCCAATGGATCCCAAAACAAGCTAAGCATCAAAATCAACCTAACAGATTCAGTAGGTTTGTGACAGGGCTTTGCAATCACCTATTTTAAAAGCTCTACAAAGTGATCCTGACTTTTGGCAAGAACTGGAAACCAGCAATAATCCACATGCACATGGAAACCCGTCCTGCAGGACCTTTCAGAGTCCAAAGTAACCTCCCAGTGTTTGACTGCATGTACTGAACTTCACCAATATGTGCAGTCACTTGACTAATTATGCTAATCACAGAAAAAGACTGAGTAAGCTTCTTTTTAACAAAGGATGCAACCTCCAATTTCTTCCAAATAGCTCTTTTCAAAAGCTATTAACCTCTACTTTGACTGACTTTAACCTTCTTACCCATGACAATACCCTGCTGATGATTGTTCTAGAAAGCTACAAAATAACTGCAAATGAGTAGAATCTTCCAGTCATTTTTTTTCCAAAATAGAAAACCTAACCCTAAAGTTGTAAAATATAGATTAAAGAGTTGGTTTGGGCTACACAGGATCAACTGAGAGAGACTTAAAAAAAAAATAAAGTTAAATATCCCATCTGAGATTTTAATCAAGGCTGGACTTGAAGGGAAGCACACCATCTAGTGGACCAAAGGCAGGATGATGTTTTCAGAGCACTTGGCTGAGCTGGAAGGCAGCAATAACAATGCCCTCTGCTCTGCTCTTTTCCACACATTGAAGGGCATGTACTTTATTAACGGTACTAGTAAAATGAACCCACAAAAAAGAAACACCTCATGATCGCCCTTCCCTACTCCCTCCACCCCCATTTTTAAGGGAAAACATGGGCAAGAATAAAATAAGCTATGGTAATGTTAATGACATACTCACCAATTTAAAGCTACAGAGATAAAACATGAAAAACTGAACATGGCAGGAGGCATGGGTGGGCAACAGGAGTTTGTCAAAAATAATTATGAGCTCTCGATATAAATCCTTTGTTTTGTTGATATCAATCTTACCTACAGAGAAAATATGGTATTTCAGTTTTATGAATACATTATTTTCAAGCTGTCAGTTTCATTTACCAAATTTTATTAAGAAAAAAATACCATTAAGAAATACATCATCTGCCAAAACCGGTTTGGCTCATTGGATAGAGCATCGGCCTGCGGACTGAGGGGTCCCAGGTTCGATTCCGGTCAAGGGCATGTACCTGGGTTGCGGGCACATCCCCAGTGGGAGATGTGCAGGAGGCAGCTGATCGATGTTTCTAACTCTCTATCTCTCTCCCATTCTCTCTGTGAAAAAATCAATAAAAAAAAAAAAAAAGAAATACATCATCCATTAAGCTATGATTAAAACAAAATGACATTTTTGTTTTGCACAAATTTTCCTTCTCAAGTGCAATAACCCAGCTCTAGCAAGAAGCAGGCCCTCACTTCACACATACTGCTCTGATGCCACAATGTGAACCCTTCTAAAGGGCAATTTTACAATTCATGGGACAGAAGTCCTTTATCCCAGTAATTCTACTGCTAGAAACATATTAAAGCAAATGACTATGATAATGTACAAAAATGTTCATTACACTGTTATTCGTAATGACATAAAAAGAGTGGGGGTAAAAGAGATCAGTTAAATCTATAATCAATAGCAACTATTTTAAAAGAACAGGGAATGGTATGAGAAAAGGTTCATAATAGGTGAGAAGGGCAGATTATGAAATACTACATATAGTGTGACCCCCCCCGCCAAAAGCCGCCAAAAAAAGTATTCATATATATATACACAAAGAAAAAAGCATTTATCAAAATGCTGGTAAGTTTTTTGAATACTAGGAATGTGGCCATTTAAAATGCCTTTTAAAAATCCTTTCCTATAGTCTCCAAATTTTCTCTAGTCTACATGTATTATTTTTATAACAGTAAAAAAATTAAAACAGTAACTTAGTCAACTCAGATTCAAGTCTTATTCTGAGTGGCTGAGTTTCACTCTTAAATTTAAATAATGAGAATGAAAAATAATTCTGTTTTTACAGCAAAGCCTCTAGCCCAGTGATGGCGAACCTTTTGAGCTCGGCGTGTCAGCATTTTGAAAAACCCTAACTTAACTCTGGTGCCGTGTCACATATAGAAATTTTTTGATATTTGCAACCATAGTAAAACAAAGATGTATATTTTTGATATTTATTTTATATATTTAAATGCCATTTAACAAAGAAAAATCAACCAAAACAATGAGTTCACGTGTCACCTCTGACACGCGTGTCATAGGTTCACCATCACTGCTCTAGACTAAAAGTTCCATGAGGACAAAAAACATATTAATTTGTCCACTTCAGTACCAAGACCCTCTAACTCAGTATGTAACACCAAGCACCATATATCAATGTCTACTATACCATTCTTAAATGTCTTGAACAATTTGAGAGTACTCTGATCTCCACGTAAAATTGACCAAGTGCCAATATATCATCCTTATTTTTTAATGTGCCTCAGGCATGAAACAGCTCTGGCCACCAAGACAGGCATCAAGCTAGGATGAACTGAGGACTGCATGTCTGCTCTGCCCCTGATTGATATAAGAGCAACACCACCAATCAGGTGTCTCCTTGCCCATTGCCAGGGGATGCCACGTATAAAATCTTTTAACACAACAGTCAGTGAAAAGATTAAGGGCTTTGAAGGCATATAACTGAGCCTGAATCCCAGTGACACCATTTCCAAGCTATGTTATATTGGCAAGTAACTTCATCTCTCTAAACCTTCTTTTCCTCATATTCAAAATAGTGATTTTTACAGGATTTCTATCAGCACAGAACCAGGTGCATAGTAGGTGTTCAACAAACAGTAGCTACTGTAACTATTATAGGTTGTTACCATCTACATAGCAGACATCCTTAATGTAGGACAAAAGTAAAGACAGCAGGATGTCCAGGCGTTCGGCGACAGGATGTGACATCTGATTGAGCCTTTCAGGGTCAGCCTTTGTTTCATTTTCAGGTACTTCGTCTTCATCCTTTAAAGATAATGTAAAAGTTGACATTTAAAAATTCAGGAAAAGTAGTTTAGTGAGAAAACTGTTAGAGGCGATTATTTCCTTTAAAAGATAAAACAAAGAAAATACATATATACCATTCCAGGCAGGGGCTTCTCAATTAGAGGTGTGAATCAGAACCAATCGTGAAATTCAAAATAAAAGCACAAGTTCAGAGACCAGCCTCTGATTCTCATCTAGAAGACCCTCACAGGGCGTGACCATGCAAACATCATAGACGCTCCCACCTCCCGGCACCCACTAGATCCTTTCCCTCTGCCCTTTTCTGCTTCCTCACACCCTTGTCCAAGGACACCCGAATCCCCATCTCAGGCTCTCCTCCCAGTGAACTCAACTTAAGACATTTTCCCAGGTAGAGAAATACTGCATTAAGGTATACAACTTATGAAATATAAAAATTACTAGTAAACTGGTATGATATTCTATTTTTCACTCCCTCACCAATAATAATGTGGTCACAAAAACAAACATAAACAGAATGAAAGCGAAGCATGCTTTCCCAAACCCAAATTAAAACCTTGGAAATAGCCGAAACCGGTTTGGCTCAGTGGAGATAGAGCATTGGCCTACGGACTGAGGGGTCCCGGGTTCGATTCCAGTCAAGGGCATGTACCTGGGTTGCGGGCACATCCCCAGAGATGTGCAGGAGGCGGCTGATCGATGTTTCTCTCTCATCGATGTTTCTGACTCTCTATCTCTCTCCCTTCCTCTCTGTAAAAAATCAATAAAATATATTTAAAAAAAAAAAAACCTTGGAAATAAACCAACATGTTGCAGTAAGCAACATGGAAGCCAATTACTTCTCTTAAGAAATCACTTCCAAAAAATAAAAAATCACGTTCAGGTTTGCTGAACTGTTTTACACTACAGTCTTGAAGGAGATGGCATGCCATTAGCTGTCTCTTCCCTCCCTCTGGACTTATATAGCCAGGTCTGCCTGCTTTTACTAATAAATGCTGACCATATTAAATAGTCCTTCTGTGGCATCTGTTCCACTACCAGTTTGAGCTGCTATTTCCTCAGCATCTTCAATATCCTGCCGGGATGCATTCACCTACATTATAACAAAGAAAAAAAGAAAACATTTAAAATACATTATTTGGGAACTGAAGATTCATTTGGTATATATACCTTAAAGGTGTCCAGATTAGCACTGTAACTCTTTACATAATTAAGGTGCAAATCTATAAATTGGTTTGGGTCATGAAGGAATTTGTAAGATCATAAATCAAGCTCCTTTTACCATATACTTACCAGCATGATAAGTATATGGTAAATCAAATTTGGATAGCTTCAACAAATTCAGTATCTATTCTAACTCGTACTATACACAAGGTACTCACATACATGTTGTGTATGTATGAGAAACATATCATCGATTTACTGAGCAGAAAAATGATGAAATGCAAGTTAAATTTGAATTATGAATATTCATTTTGTTATGTAACCCTTCAAATATCTTTTTAAAATATCATTCAAATCATGCCTTTATTACTATCTAAACATGACCTTCTTTCTAAATGCACTCTAAAATGTTCTGTAAGTATAGACCAGATAAGACTTTAGAAAGATTATGGATGCAGTTGGGCAGAGGTTAACTCTAAGTGAGCACTGGGGAAGCCTGCCTAACATCCAGGACTTGCTAGACTTGCCTCATTAAGCCTTCTTCTCCCCTGCAGGATCAATGTTCTCCTCCACCAACTCATCTCTTCAGTCCACAAACCTCAAGTCTCCCCAACGCTAACACATTTGCCTCTCACCCCTGCCTCATCCTTTCTTTACACCACAAATCCTCACTGAGATCTCTTAACAATTTCACTTCCTAACCATCCACATTCTCTAAAATGCACTGTCCCCCTCCACTTTGACAAAGCAAGAGATTACCCCCCCAATCACCAAATCCAAGGACTTTACCTTTCCTCATTCTCCTTAAAAACATCAGCTATATTTCATGCTGCTGACCAAACCCTTCCTTCTTCCAAACCCTCCCCACATAGCCACACTCTTGGTTTTCCTCCCACTTCCAATCATACTTCCTCTCTCCTAGCCTAAACTGCATCATTCCACAGGTTTGTACTTTCCTCTACCTTCATCTATAGCTGCTTGGTGAGTATTCACCTGCCAGCTTCCCACCTGCATACCTCAATCCATCCAAAATGGAACTCATCTTCAAACTTCCTTATGACTTTTCTTACTACTGTTAATGTCAACAACAAGATTCTACTCCACAGTGAGCTACCTTTGAAGGATTCTTTTCTTTAACCCCTACTTCTCCACTTCCTACTCAGTCTCAAGGACTAGGTCACCTTTCTTCCACAATGTCAAGAACCTACCACTTTCTTTCATCCCTATTGCACCTTATTGCAGGCCTCTTTAAATGTTTTCCTGACTTCTGATTACATCAGATTTCCCAGGTGATAGCAATGTGTGTGTTCCATTCATAGCCTTTACCTCAACAACATTTTTATATTGGTGTAACTAATTAATGCCATGTGCCCCAACCATGAGAATGGGACTGTCTATAACCCCCAGCATCTCGATGAATTTCAAGAAATGTACAAAGAAATGAAACAAAAGTAGAACTATGGATTCTTTTTCATTGCTGCTACTATTGTTTTACATATTATAACAAATATATTTAATAAAGAAAGATCAAGGAGAAAAATATATTATTAAATACTTACATCCAACTTGAGTAGCTTTTCAATGACAAGCTCCAGAATTTCATGTCTCAAGGTTGGAAAATACACACTAATTCTTAGTAAGTTATGAACATAACATTCCTAAAATATGAAAAAATAAACATTTCAACAGAGACTGTTTCAGTTATGTAAGAAAAGCATCAATTACACAATCTTTATTTCCAGTTACTGAAATAGAAAAAACAGACTATCTGGTAACATAGAAACTATACTGTTTATATATTCAGTTTCTGCCTGTATACAGCGGAGTAGCCTGTTGCCAGTTTGGTATAATTAATCAAATTACTATCAATAAAATTAATTTGTAATTTGCGTACTTCTACAGTGTTTTTAAAATAGGTTTTTTGAGATATATATATATATATATATATGTATATATATATACACACACACATATATAGTTCATATATAACTGACCCACTTAAAATGTACAGTTCAAACGTTTTTAGTATATTCAGAATTGCACAACCATCACCATAATCAATTGTAGAACATTTTCATCACCCTAAAATAAACCCTGTTATCTTTTAGTAAAGTACCTCTCCCCAGCCTTTGGTAACCACTAGTCTACTTTCTGTCTCTATGAATTTACCTATTCTAGACATTTCATGAGTGAAATCTCAAACTATGTGGTTTTTCAGCATGTTTTCAAGGTCCACTCGTTATAACAAATAAGCTATTCAATTGCTAAATAATATTCCACTGTAGACATACCACCCACATTTTGTTTGCTTATCACTTAAAACATTTAGCAGTTTCCATATTTTTGCTATGATAAATGCTGCTGCTTTGAACATTCACGTAAGTTTTGTGTGGACAAATGCTTTCATTTGTCTTGGGTATATACCCAGCAGTGGAAATGTTGGGTCATGTGGCAATTCTGTGTTTTTTTTGAGGAACTGTCAGACCGTTTTCCAAAGCAGCTGCACCATTTCCCGTTCTCATCAGCAATGTGCAGGGTACTGATTTCTCCACATCTTCACCACCACTTGTTATTATTCATCTTTTTATAGTACAGCAATCCTAGTAGGTGCTGTTTGTCAAAAGCTTTTTCTGCATCTATTGCAATGATCATGTGGATTTTGTTATTTATTCTGCTGACACGGTAGGTTATAATTGATTTGGAGTATTAATTCAATCTTGTATTCCTAGAATACACTTCACTTGGTCAAGGTGCACAATTCTTTTTATCTGTTGCTAGATCCAGGTTCCAATTACTTTGTTCAGTACTTTTGCATCTATGCTCATAAGAGATACAGGATTTATAATATTCCTCTTGTAGCAGACTATCACAACATTAGCAAAATTTATCAACTCCATATTTAATGCTTGTAATAGCTTACGTAGGGAAAAGTAATCTATGCTTAGAAGGGAACCACTATTAGCTATTGAAAACAACACAGATGACCTAAAACTTGGAAAGGAAGAGGTAAACAGAATGCACCTATAGAAGGCTCTGTCTTCATGTTCAAATAAGGCATATTTCCATTGATAATATATGATTCATTACCTTCTAGTAAATTTTATCTGTCAAATCATTAAGCCTATTCAGCTATTTTTGAAATGGGCCCCTGAGTTGCACATAGGAATCAAAGAAAGTGGCACTGGGGATACTCAGTCACTTGCTAAGAAAGGAATTTGAGTCAAATTCTTAGATCTAATAGCACCTAAAACCAAATCACATAAAACAATTTTTCCATTATTTTCCCCATGAAAATATTTCTTACCAATGTTCTCTCTGATTTTTGAACAAATGGAAATTTTTCTACCAGTATTGGCATTAGAAACCACGGTGTCCTATAAAAAAGAAAATCAACCAATCCATGTTAGCTGCTGTCTTGGAAGGGAGCATTTCCATTCTAAGAGCAAATGTGGATACAGGAGGCAAACAGTAACACCTACCTCAAGCAATTAGAACTAAAAATTAATGCATGCCTTCACCGAAAATCTGTAACTTATGGGAAAATAAACTTCTATAACCTTTGGTATCAACAGCATATTAAAGGGGAATTCTTTTTTCTACAAAAGCAAATTAACAACTTGGACTTTTTAAAAGCAAATACATTAACCTAGAGGGAACTTGAAGTCTACCCCTTCAAAAGAAACCTACACAACTTAAAAGCTTTCTTAGGCCCTGACCAGTTTGGCTCAGTAGATAGAACGTCAGCCTGCGGACACAAGGGTCCCGGGTTCGATTCCGGTCAAGGGCATGTAACTTGGTTGCGGGCACATTCCCAGTGGGGAGTGTGCAGGAGGCAGCTGATCGATGTTTCTCTCTCATCAATGTTTCTAACTCTCTATCCCTCTCCCTTCCTCTGTGTAAAAAATCAATAAAATATATATATATTTTTTAAAAAGCGCTTTCTTAGAACTGCAATTTTTATTCAAATGGCATGACACAAAAACAGAGAGGTCGCTCACTGAAAATTTTTGGATATCTTATCTGCTGAAGATAAAAGCAAAATTCCAACCATTATACATAAGTTGGAAGAGGAATATGCATGCAAGTTTTAAAAATAAAGACAGTGAATAAAGAGCTAAAATGCCATTTTTTGTTAGAATGTGATGTTGTTATAGCAACAGGATACAAAAAAACATGCAGCACACAAGTTGAATTTTGCTTCTATAAACAAGTTTTAGTTTCTTACTAATTGACTGCAATTTTCTTGACTCAAAATAAGTAACAAAAGTATACTCACGATGGGACATATCTTGCTATTATTTGCAAGGCCCTGTGACAAGTGTTAAAATTTTCAGGAAGATCTACAATAAAAAAATGAGAGCATGAACATCAAAGTAAAATTGAAAACTAAAAAATTATGTATTGGAAGCTAAAAGCACCTCAGCAAAATAATAATTTCAATATTTTTCTCCATAGCCGACTATCAATGAAGAGTAAGTGGACTAATTATATAAGTAATGCATTAAGGGCAATTGATTACATGTTAGTGCTCAATATAAAGAAAAGGTTCTATTAAGATTGCCATTAAACTTTATGATTCAACATGCATTCTCTAAGACACAGCAGGCATTTTTGCTTTAATCCACTTTATACTTACTATCATCTTCGTCATCAGAATCGGAAACATCTACGTCACCTTCCTTAATGACCACTCGGGCTTTTGAAGGAAAAACAAAGTATGTTATTCTCCTGTCATTGTCTACATAAAAAAAGTGGTTTTTCCATGATCTAAACTAGCATAATGATTAAATTTATAATCAGGAGAAAAAAGTCAAGTAATTTTATAGTTTTTAAACAACTAAAAATTCCTAACTTCTAAGACTTTGCCAGAAGTTCACTAAAGTAAATCACAACCCATAAAAATCACAGCAACAAACAAATCTAAACATTTCTGCAGTACAGGGAACAGACATGTACCAAACTGTTGCCAACATGTGTTCTGGAATCATCAATGGTGGCAAAATCTCCAAAGTGTATTTGGACGGCAGTATTTTAATAGAGATATTTTAAAAGTGAAAAATCAAAGCAAGGAAAGAGGAACCACTTACGAGGTACAAAATGAGAAGCAATCATGCTGAGACATGGTCTAAGGAAGACAGTCTGTGCTGATACCAGATTACCAAGAAAAGCCAAATACTCCTCCACCACTGTCTGACTTCTAGTCAACCACTGCAATCTCTAGGGACAGGAGGAAGAGAAAGACAAAAGAAACATTTCACTGATGCAATAAATATTTCCAAGTCGTGAATCACATACTAGTCAGTGAAATAAATGGTGAACTTACCAAGAGAATATTGATAAGCTGCTCAAAGTCTTTGGTCAAGTACATAATAGAAGAGCGGAATTCTAACAGCCAGTTAATGATCTGGTCATCCTTAAGTTAAACAAAAAGAAAGTACTTTCAAAATCATAAATCCTCTAAAATATCAGAGAAGATGATATGTATCTTACACCAATCACCTATCAATAATATTTACATTAGAAAAAGAAGTCACAAACTTGGACTTAAGCCAAAATTGAGATGAAAATTTCTTAGTCTGTATCAAACTGGAAAAAGATGTTACAATAAATTTTCCAATTTTAGAAAAAAATTTTGTAGTAATTTTTACATGGAGGGAGGGGAATTAAATGTAATACTTCCTTCTCATCACTTTTGTTTGCCCTAAAAAAAGTGAAAACCCCTCAAACTTTGATACCTGGGACTTGCAGATTCAAATATTCAAATATTATAAGACCACAAGGACCTCTATCTCCTCTATATTCATGCTGACATGAAAGCATATTGATAACATTCAGTCTAAGCTGATTATAACTAGAGTCATCAATAAATATAAAATTTTCTCAAACCAATCTGACATTGGATTTAAATGAATCAAGATATGTTACATGTTAATGATGATTCCACTACGCCATGAAATACCTTTCAGGGAATAAAATTATGGTTCACAACTCTTAGTGACATGGGAAAAAACTGCTAAATAAAAAGAGAGATCTTTGACAAGTCTGAAAATTAAATTAAACTTTAACCCATGGATATATTTTAAAAAAAGAAAAATAAGCCATGAATAAAATATAGTATCAAGTTACATAAAACATAGTTTATATTCATGCCTATATACAACATACACAAGAAAAAACTAACAGCCCCATATTTTAAAGAAAACGGTAAATGCAGATTTAAGACTCAGTAGGGCAAGAGCTCTAATAAACAAAAGCAGTACAGTGTTGTGCCTATAGTAACAGACTATTAACAGACAGTGTTGTACCTAGAGTGACCCACTATTAAAAGACAGGGTTAAAAAAAATAAAAAATAAAAAATAAATAAAAGACAGGGTTGTACCTACAGTTATAGACTATTTTATAGGGAGTATCATTTAGTGAGAACACACCAGGTGCCAGGC